GATCTTGCATACATCTCATCCCCAGTCAAAATGAGAGAAGACATCCATCACAAGAGCCACAAGGGTGTGATTGAAGCTCCCCCTGTTTTTTGTGTACAACGCACACAAGGCAGAGCTCTGATTGTACCATCATGACCGCCACCTTGACCACACCCTGCAGACACCCCTGCCTCAAGAATACGTAATCCTAACCTTTCTTTGCCTTCCCCCCCCTCTCCTCTCCTCTCCTCTCCTCTCCTCTTTACTTTCTTTATTTCACATTAGATGGGCACATTTACAAACAGCCCTGGGCCACAGTCATTCTCTGGCTTTTTTTATTTTATTTTTTAAGAATATTTATGGAGCCAGTATATGACTTGAGGCATCTCTGGAAATTAAGATGGTTTTGAAAAGTAGTGCCTGGCCTGCAGGTTCCTTTTTCATTTTGTTTAAAATTAAACCATTAAAAAAAATAATTAAAACTTGAGAGGTGAGAAGCATTTCACAAGCAGCTTGATACCCACAGATGCCACATTAGAGACCCCAGCATTAAATGTGCAGCTGAGTGCTAACACTGAAGACCTCTTGGGTCAAGTGTCAACTGGGGGCATTTTTGGACTTCTGGATGCTCCCCCAGTTTCTGTCTCATTCAGTTAAATCCTCAGGAGTCCCTCCTCAATGCCCTCTCTCTTTCTCTTATTTTATTAGTTTTTTTTCAAAAATTTATTATGTGCGATCAAATCATTGTTGACTCTTAGCGACCACCCAGATAGATTTTCTCCATGACAATCTGTCCTTAACCTGGTCTTTCTGGGTCTTCTAACAGTTTTTAAAAAATCAAATCACCCAATAGCCTAAGCTCTGTGGGTGGTTTACAATAAAACATCTGTCTCTGTCTGTCCATCCATCCAATGGGAATTAAAACATACACAATCAAATCAAATCATATACAAAATAAAGAAACCATGTAAACTAGGCAGCCTCAAGGTGGTCAGCAAAATCTGAAACAATACCAATTAGTGGAACCCTTCAAGGAGGGAATTCCATAAAAGGGGGTGCCACCATGGAAAAGGCTTTCCTTCTCTCTTATCATCATTTCTCTAAAAGACCTCTAAGGAGCAGGAGGAAGAAATGAGGATTCAGGAGAAGGTTTACGTAATTAAAAAAATATGTAACGATATAAAGGTTCATGTTGCTGCATTTAGCGTCCCACTGAGTTGCAAGTTCTTGGCTGAATTTGGGGCTCAGTTCCAGCTTGGCACCACTGAACAATGGGACCCAGTTGTTTGGGGCGGGCATCAGAGCTTTTCCAGCTGCCTCCCCACCATCTGAGCTCCTCAACAAGCTCACTGTTTGGCCCCTAGGCGAACCGACTGCCCCCCAACATTGTGGCAAATGGGGCTGTCCTGGTTGCAGGCTGAGGAATTCTGGGAGTTGAAGTCCACACATTTAAAAGTTGCCAAGTTTGAAAAACACTGTTTTAGCGGCATAGCAGTTTTGTTAGAAGAAAATTGCCCTTTTCAGGAGCAGCCTTGGTGACACAATTGCTAACTCTCCTTTATCTGGACCTTGTGTCTGGTGACTAAGGGCTGGGGCTGGAAAGTGTCTTTTCCTGGATTCTTTAGCCAGTCTTTCTACCTGGAGGAGGAAACAGGCTGAGTAGATGGGGAATTTCCCCAATGCCACTCTAGCTATTTAACCGTCAGAGTGAAGGGCATACTCCAGAGCAAAGGGAAGCTGAGGGGCAGGGCAAGTCTTAGAGTTGAGACACCTTCTCTCCTTCACCATCTGGCCGCTCTGCCACAAAACATGCTGCTCTCCTTGCTTCTCTGTGTGGGGATTGTGAGCGGATTCCGCCCCAACCATGAATCGGGGGGCATCTCTGCAAGTGACTATACGGATACCGACATCACGGAAATGGGGGCGCTGCGGGCTGTCGCCTGGTACATGGAGAGGAACCCCTTGTCTGGAAGACCTCCCATGGCTCCAGGGGAGCTAGAAAACATGAAGCCACTGAATGCAACTGGGCTGTTCAAGGCCTACTTCCAAGGTAAGCTGGCATTGGGATCCAAAACAGGAGGATGAGTCTTGCTCCAAAGCCCAGTGTCCTGGCACTCGGTTCTAAGACCCTGGATCTCCTTGTCACACCTAGAACTAAATAGCATGGTTCTTTCAAAGCCTGACCTTTCTCCAACACAATATTTTCGAGAAAGCTAATTCTGATTATAAATGTCTCATCCCACCTCCAGCCCATGAAAGACTGATTATCTGGGGGAACCTTGGGGTATATTGATCAATCTGTAGAGAATCTAGATGACTCTTCTAGCCTCTTTCTAGCCTTTGCTTCCATACTGTGAAACGTTCCCAGTCTGGTGCTCCTTGGGTGAGTTGGCCTCCAATTCCCTTATTTCCTAGCCATCCTGGAAGGAAATGGGATTTCAGAAGACCTCTTTTAAGGTCATCAACTTGAGCCCTAGACCATTTTCAAAGCATGTATACTGTATATACCAGATAGATTGAAAGGTCAAAAAAATACTACTACTGTTATTACTACTAATGATAACAATAATTCTAACCGATCCACTTTTTCTTCCACAGCTGATGTCTCTCCCAGTCGATTCACAAAAGCTGTTCAGGAAATTGTCACTGGAAATAATCTAGTGGAAGTCTATCACCTCCAAGACAGCAGCTACTTCTTCTACTGTGAACAAATTAGCAAAAGTAAGGTGGGATTTATGACTGATTGTTGCTGCTTAGAAGAGGAGTATGTTCAATGCTGGGAGGGGGGAGCATTAGGAACTGGAGGAAACTCAATGATGAATGGAAACAGTTAACAAATGTGGTCAGTGCTCAAGATTCCAGTAGAGACAGCCATTCTAGCCTGTTCCAGCAAAAAATCTCAATCAAATTACTTGGCCCTAACTCCAGGTTATTGACCTGGGGTAGGGAGAGATTGCAATTGGTGAATAAAAGAGAAATTATATACAAAATGTGATAATTATACTAAGATGCCATGTTTGCACTAGACTTATGGTTGAACATGGTTGGTTAATTAGTAGCTATAATTATAGCTTTTGCCCAATTCCATTACTCATTCGCCATTTACCCCACTTGGGACAGGCAATGAATTCATTGCAAACTCTGCAGCAATAGTGGGGAACTTGTCACATTCTACATGTTGCTGAATTACAGTTCCCAGCATCCCTCGCGATTGGCCATGTAAGAACAATGTTTAAAGGGCTAGAGCCCTCACCTTTCCCCTGGTCCAGAACTAAAAATGCTTAGCTATGATTTAGCCATAGTGGATAAAGTTGTAGCATTTGTCCAGCACTTCTTGGCTGCTGTCCACACTTTTATGGTTTAATGCTTGTCGGTTATACAAAAGGTGGGGTGAAATGCTATGTGGCTTTATTACTGTGTGCATCTGTAATTGGCCTCCAGGTTCTGTTAAAAGAAAGAGCTTTGGATAAATAATGAAACTCCATAGAAATGTGCGCAGAGGACAATTTTGCTTTACGTATAGCAGGGACTTTGGATTTCATGAAAATTTGGCCCTATGGTTTTTTATGGATTTGTTTTTAAAAATAAGAACATTCAGAGCAGATCATTGAAATGGTACTCTGTTTTAATATTGTTATTTTATGGTTCTGTTGTATGCTGCCCAAAGCCACTTTTTATAAGATGGAAGGCCATATCAATATGATAAATAAATAAATAAAAACTTTAAGACAATGTTAGAATAACACAACACTAGCGTCCATGAAAACGAATTATGAAGTATCAGAGATCAAGGTCGAAGGCATCTAAAAGCTTTCAAAAGCCAAATGGAAAAATGTTTCGAAGTCACACTCAAGCGAAAACCAGCACTGATTCTTAGGGTTCCATGATTCTGACCTGTATCCTGAGTTTGATCAATGCCTGACAGGTACCAGTATAGTGGGCTGGCATACAGAAAACTTCCTTTGGTCTATATCAGCCAAGGTCCTCTTAGATGGAAATGAACCTTGGACGTTCTGAAGGTCCTTGAATCTCATTTCCGTTCAAATGTGGGAAGCAATTTTAAAGTGATATCTTTGCAGGGCTGGCCCTCCCATGGAGCAGAAGGTTTCTGTGAAATGGAATGCTGGCTAGATGGGCCTAGGCTTGATCCATCATAGCTCTTCTCATGTTCAAGATATTCCAGGGAAGGGGGCATGATTTCTATTTTGGCCTAATGTCCCTACATGAGCATTCAGGGAAGAGAGAATTTTAGGAAGGACACTGACAAAATGAATGTGTCCAGAGCACAGCAACTAAGATGGCAAAGATTGGAGGCAATGGGTGTGTTTAACCTAGAGAAGAGAAGATTACAAAGAGATACCTGAACTGTCTTCAAGTATCCGAAGGGCTGTCGTGTTGAAGATGGGGCAGAATTGTTCACAGTCATTCCAGAATAGAGGACAAGAAAAAGTGGGTTGAAATTACAAGGAAGTAGATTTTGGTTGGATATGAGAAAAAAATTCCTAGCAGTAAAAACTGTTTGTGCTTCAGGAGGTAGCAGAGTCTCCTCTACCAGAGGTCCAGAAGCAAGATGGCCATCTGATGAGGATACCATCGTAACCAACTGTTGTTCTGAAGAGTGTGTAGGACTAGATGATTTAGTTCATTCTAACTTTACATTCAGCTATTCAGAACTTCCATGCTGTCTTTTCCCAGGTATTAACCAAATTCGAATTCTGAGTGACTCTATGCTTTCCAGTCTGAGTGGTGAGGTGAACTCAGCTGATTTAGAAGCAGCTCGCCTCAGTGCTGGAAAAGCCGTTCATGTGACGCAGAAATTCTACAGCAACACCAACTGGGTCGAAATGCAAAACCCCAACACTTACGAATACCTGGGTAAGTCTCTAGGAATACGGACACAAAGAACTGGATGCTGCCCAGAGCTATCCATCGGGGAGGGAGCCAAAACATTCAAGATGGTGACCACAATCAAGTGGTCATGGCTACCACCTTGATGTTTTTACACACACACACACACACACACACAGCAAATAACCCAGGCACTGCCTTGTTTTTGATGGAGTTTCCTCAACTTTTCCTGGAAGAAAAGTATTCCCTTTGTAATTATGAGTCTATAGAAGGTTAAAAAAATGATATCACATTTCATATTAAGCTTCATGGTAAGAACATGTAAGAACGTATTCCAAATATGGTTTTAAAAATTATAATTGTTTGCATTACCATGCAGTGTTTTCTGACTTGTCCAATGAATGTATTCTGGATTCCCAACCTGCCACTTTGCTGATGTCTTGGAGTCCAATTCACATTTTCATGGTCAGCTGTGGAGGGCAATAGCTGTTCCCAAGGATATGGAAGACACCAGTTTGGAATAAATACATACAAACCAATTCTTTACATCTGCACAAAGCCCCCCCCCCCAACTCCAGAAAGCTCTGGTTCTATTTTAATTTATTTATTATTGAAACGTGTAGCCCATCTTTCGACTTTTATTACTAGGTCAACTTCTGGTTGAAGTACCCAGTGAGATGTTCCTGGGTGTTGATGTCTCCATACCTCCATTTCTTATTGCCAGATGGGCTCTCTTGGCCACCTAACTTGTCTGTGTGTACACATGTGTTCTTGCATGTGTGTTTGAATATATGCATATGTTTCCATACACACACACTCATATACAAACCTGAGGAAACAAGCCACATCCTAGACAAAGGGATAGCAAACAACTTCTACATTGTTGCCGAGAAAACTACAGCAATATCTCTGCAAAGCCATGGGAAGTTCAAGTGGGTGTTTGTGTGCATGTATGTGTGGGTGTGTGCATGCGTGCGTGTGCGTGCGTGCATTAAAACAGGGAGTCACTGATGTGCTGCACAGTAAATCACTGGACTCCTGCATCAGTTTTATTTCAAAGAATGCCTCAGAAGCCAACTGAATTTAGAAAGTCAGTCTGGTATAGTGGTTAAGGTGCTTCGCTGGAAACCAGGAGACCATGTTCTTGTCCTCCCTTAGGCACAGAAGTGAGTTGGTTGACTTTAGGTCAGTCCCCCTCTTTTAGCCCAACCCACAACAGAGTTGTGGTGCTGGGAAAAATAGGAGAGAGAGTGATGGATGTCTCCTTAGGTTGTACAAAATAAAGGGGGGATATAAATCTGTAGAGAACAGAGGGAATGGCCTTGAAGGACAGGAGGAAGAGCTGCTACTAAGGCAATAGTCAGATAAGAGGGACTTGAGCCCAGGGCAAGAATGTAACATGAGTAAACGTCTCAGACAAGCCCCTCCCTCCTTCACATGAAGATAAAGGCAGAGAGGGGGAAGCACATTCAGACTTTCAAGATTCAATTACCATAGCTTTACGGTAAAAGTAGTAATGGACCTACATAGCATTGATTTCCTAGTCTGATCTATCTTGGAGGGCTGACAAAATCTAGTAATAACAGGTTTCTGCAGGTTGTATCTTACACTTGAAAGAACGTGTGCATGCAAGTGTTTGTGTGCATGCACTTCTGAGCATCGCCAGTTCTCCTTTTGTGAAACAGATATCTTGTATTTTTGACTTGGCTTTAGAGGCCCCAACTTCCCTTCTGCCTTATTCTTATTCTTATTCTTATTCTTATTCTTATTCTTATTCTTATTCTTATTCTTATTCTTGGCCCAATTAATTTTAGCCTCACCAGTTTCCCTCCTAATAATCGTGTGTTTTATGGCCGGCCACACTACCACCACCGCTGTTTAGTGAGAATTCTCACACATGCGCTTAAAATTCCAGAAGTGGGATTGGAGGAATTTCAGGCTTAAGAGGAGTTCAGCTACATCTAAATAGAATCTTTCTCCTTTTTATGTCCCTTCCAGTAAACCCAAATAGTTCCGTCTTTCCTGTTGCACCTTCTTCTAAGGAAACATGTCGTGACTGTAAAAGAGCACCAAGGTAAATCCATAAATGAACCGAGGTAAATCCCAAATAAACACAAAGGCTTATTTTGAGCCTAATGGGTTGTAAAAGTTGATCTTCATCTGCATATAAATCAAGTACAGTTGGAAGACCCACAATCTTTGTCTGAAAGAAGACTTTGATCTTATAATTTGCTGTGTGTGCAGATCATCTCAAAGAGGTTTATTTTCAAAGATTAAGATTGGGGGCTTTGACTGAGGTTAACATCCACTAATATTACAGTGAGTGACTCTGTGTCTGAGAATCTGAGCCCCAATTTTTTATCCGGTACTTTCCCATAGAGCGCCAATGTGGTTAAAGGCGCTGAGCTAGAAACTATGAAACTATGAGTTCTAGTCCTGCCTTAGGCATGAAGCCAAGTCTCTTAGCCCTAGTTATAGCAAACCACTTCTGAAAATATTGCCAAGAAAACTGCATAGATTTGTCCTTGTAGCCATCAGGAGTCACTTTCCCATACAGTGTTGGAAGAAAAGATGAAAATCTGTTCCTTGCCTTTATTATCTCATTTACGACTTTCTGGGTAGGGATTATTATGATGTGCAAATTCTTTTTAAGTGATGTTTCTCAATCACATTGTAGGGAGCACTGAGTCATTAAGCGGCTGCATTTTTTTCCAGGTAAATGCAGTTGTTTACGGGAAGATGGCCAGGAGCAACTTAACAAACAGCTGCATGAGAAAGAGATGCAGCTTCTACAACAGTTCAAAGAGAGAACTGTGTACAGGTAGTCTTTGTTGAACAACCACTCGTTCAGCGACAGTTCAAAGTTACGACGGTGCTGAACGAGGGGGACTTATGATGGGTCCTCATAGTTATGGCTGTCACAGCATCCCTGTGATCACGTGATCATGATTTGGGTGCTTGGCAACCAGCTCACAACTATGACGTCGCAGCATCCCGTGGTCACATGAACACCATTTGCGACCTTCCCTGCCAGCTTCCGACAAGCAAAGTCAATGGGGAAGCTGGCAAGAGGTCACAAATGGCAATCACATGACCACAGGACAGTGCAACTGCATGGGATTTTCCTAACAATGGCAGCTAGGACTGCCACAACTGCCGTCATAAGTCAGCACGGTCACGTGACGTCGTGCTTTACAACGGCATTGCTTAGTGACAGAGTTGCTGGCCCCAACTGCCATTGTTAAGTGAGAACTACCTGTATACACTTCTGTGAAGCATCTCTTCTGAAAGATTTGCACAGCCCTAGTGATAGGCCCAGAACCTTTTTTTCAGTTCTGTTTTTCCCATTCAGTTCAGATGTTGCCTACAAACACCTATATTGCATACCCAAAATGAACGATTTCTGTTATCTTCAGCGTGTTTATGAAATGCAGTTCAGGATAGATTTCTGATTTAAGTCAAATTTAAGTTCATGAATCCCATATACCAATATCTTTGCTTAACAGTGGACCATTATTGTGTGATGGAAACATGCTGGTGAAAGACATGCTAACAAGTGGATACAAAGTATCATCTTCCTGTAGAATGAAACCACCAGGTAAAGATCACCTATGGTTGCTAGATATTTTCATCAGTTCTTCCTCCGTGTTCCAAACAGGCAGAAGGGGACCGATCTCTATGGTTAGCTAGCCCTTTGACCAAGCCAATAATATCTACAATATAAATTGGCAGTGATGGCCTTTCTAATTATTTAGAACTAAACTTCTAAGACTAGTCCTAGCAACATGGTGGTTATGCTTCACACTGACCTAAAGGTCTACCTGGTCATGTACTGTCCATACCAGGCGACAAGAATGTTACCCAATCCTGGGAGTGGCTGGCGCCTTGATGATGCTCCCCGAGTTACTGCCAGTTTAACATCCATTCTTGGGTTTTATTTATTTTCTATTTATTCAGGATCTTTTCACATTGTATTTTTAATTGATTTTAACTGCTTTGTAAACTGCCCAGGGTTGTTTTTAACGCGATGGGTGGTGACAAATTTGATGAATAAATAAATACATGAAACTAAAATGTAGTGGCTATATATTTGACTTTGATAACCCAAGGTATCTGCGCCTTTTCTTTCTCTTTTCTACATTATTTCTGCAGGCAAATGTGGTCATGGTGGAAAAAATGACGTGTCTCAAAATTACCCTCCTACTGGTGGCATCAACAAGGAGACTTCTAACCCCGAGCTTTCTCCACACTATTTCCTCCATCAGGAAGCAGCAGAATTAGCCATAGAAGCCACAAAGAGCTTTTTTGTTGGAGAGGGTAAGGCTGGGTCCTAGATCCTGTGAGGACCCCAGTTTTGATGACTTGATAGAACATTTCTCCGATCACTGCATGGACATTGCTCTACTGATCTGTCCCACTTAAAAAGGCTAAGTTGTACTTCCTCAACCTGGTGCCCTCTAGAAGTGTCGGATAGCACTTCTCCGAATTTTCAACAGACAGAATTTTAGCAATTAATGCATCTGCAGGGCTCAAAAAATGGGCATTTATGCAGCTATGGTTTTTCCTTTGCAAATCAAAGCAGTATAAAGGGTTGCCTTTCACAGCAATTTGAAACAAGATATGCAGGGGTTCAAACACAACTTGGTCTTGCTCTTTATTTGTTCAGGTTTCGGCCTCTTAAGTAAAGTGGGAGACGATATTTTCAAGAAGGTGTTCAACCTGGATGGTTACTCCCTCACCTTCGTGATAGACACGACCGGCAGCATGACGGAAGACATCCATCAAGTCAAAATTAACTGCATCCAACTCCTCCGAAATTATTCTGGCTCTCCTGATGCACCTTTTAATTACATTCTTGTGCCCTTCAATGATCCAAGTAAGGAAGCAGTAGAAAACTTTGATTCCTTCTCATTCCTCCTGTTTCGGAGGAACTGCCCTCCTTCTTTTGCTCAGTTTTTTCAGAGAATCCAAGCAGTGTTCTGGGCAGCTAGGAGGGGTGATGTGGCTTAACCATGGCTTATGAGCTAGAGTTAGAGTTAGGGTTAGGGTTAGGGTTAGGGTTAGGGTTAGGCTTTAAAAAAAAAAAAAGCAATTATCTCTCTGCTGGGGTGGCCAGGTTAAAGTGACAGATCCTCCTTCTGTGGAAAGTGAATAAAGTGAAAGTGAACAAAGGGCTCACGGAGCTTTTAAGGTTTGCCATTATTTCACACTGCTTAATTCAGAGGAAGGAGAAAAATGAGGAAAAGGAGCCGGCAAACAATAGAAACTTAAATACCAGCATTTGCACTGGTAACTGAAAGAGAAAGATGGCACCACAGATTTTTAGTTAAGTTCATGTGTTTTATAAATCAGTTCTATATAGTAAGAATGAACTGAAATTGACTTCAAGCTATTTTGGAATACTGGGTCTAGTCCGCAATCTAAAAATGACATGGTTGGGGACACGTGGACTTAAGTTCAAAGGAGGGCTACCAAGATGGTGGAGGGACTGGAAACCACATCTTCTGAGGAGCAGTGAAAGCAGCTGAGTATGTTTGGCCTGCCCAAGAGAAGATTGAAGGGAGATAAGATAGTGGTCTTCAAATATCTGGAGGGCTGTCACACAGAAGAAGGAGTGGGCTTGTTCTCTGTTAATCTGGAGGGAAGGACCAGCACCCGTTGACTGAAGCTACAGAGAAGCGGATTTGACATTAGGAGAAATTTTAGGGTTCAAGTTAGACATTAGGAAAAATTCCCTGATGGTAAGAGCTGTCAAGGCTACCTCATGAAGTATATGGTACCTTTTCACTGGAGGTCTTCAGAGGTTGGAAAGCCAACTTGCCAATACTTTAGCAGATCTGGCATCAAGCAGGGGTTGGGCCAGAAGATCTCTGAAGTAACTTCCAGCTCTATGATTCTGTCAAAGGTGTGGAGCATGACTGCAAGTTAATTATGAGATAGTACTTTTTCTTGTTATCCAATTGTGGGTTGCTGCTCCTCATTTTCAGATGATTGAGAGATTTATAGTATTAAAATGAAATTGTAGTCTAGTAAGTAATAGAAAAATAGGTGATAAGAATACACACACACACCTCAACAGGAAATAATATTTATTCATTTATTTATTTATTGCATTCCTTTCCTAGCCTTTTCCCTGGAAACTCAAGGCAGTTTCCTTGCTTGTATTCCTCCAGCAGCAAAACTAAAATTTAGCAAACTAAAGGAGTATTAAAGAGGACTTAACTGCTCCATTCCATTGTCATAATCCAAAGTTTTCATTTGCGGCTCCTCCTGGTATTTCAATGCGGTTGCGGACCCCCCACAGTTCAGCGTGGGCTGACAAACTGTGTGGGATTTTCAGAGCAACTATCTACTTAAATCAGTGTTTCTCAACCTTGGCAGCTTTCAGAGGTGTGGACTTCAACTCCCAGAATTCTGGGAGTTGAAATCTCAAGTCCCAGAATTCTGGGAGTTGAAGTCCACACCTCTGAAAGCTGCCGAGGTTGAGAAACACTGATTTAAATAGAAGCTTTTCCCCTTGCCCTGTGCTTCTGTAATTGGATCTTGTTCAGAGGGACATTTTCAAACGTCCCTTCATTTCGCAGCTCCGGCCTTCTGTGTGGGGGTGTGGTTTAAATCTTTGTTTGTAGGCTGTGCTATTGTTTCTATTATGAATGCTATTTTGTAATGTTGCTATAGCTGTAGAAAGTCCCATCCTAACATGGAACGGTCATTGGCCGAGGTCTTCAAACCGAGCCTGGATAGCCATCAGTCCACAATGCTTTAGCAAGTATTGCATCAAGCAGGGGGGGTCAGACTAGATGGCCTCTGCAATACCTGCCAACCTTATGATTCCATAAATTCAATGATATTTATCCCTCACTGTACAGAAAGCAATTATAGAGCCAGAAGTCAAAGGAGGAAGCTTTTAAGTAAGGGGGCCTCTCTTGAATGAATTGTACATCTGAACTGATATTGCGGTAAGCTCTTGGCCATTAAGCTGGCTACTGCCGAATAAATCTGAAAAACCTGAATCAGGACCTGTGGAAATCAGGTGCCAGTCTTATTGTTCCAGGAACAGATAAGGATGCTCATCCTTAAATATTTAAAAGGAAGGTATTGTAAAAATCTGCTCAGAGCCCCAAGAAAGGCAAAAACAGAATTAACAAAATAAAAACAGAGGCTCTGTCTGAAACTGTGGCCCTTAGATAGTCTTCTTCATACTGTCATGGCTCAGTTCCTACCTACATCTGTCTTTCCAGGGGTTGGTCCCATCATTAAAACCCAGAGTGTGGACGAATTGGAATCCGCGATCTCTCGCCTGACTGCTACTGGTGGTGGCGATTGCCCAGAAATGTCAATGACGGGCTTGAAACTGGCTTTGCAAGAGAGCTTGCCAAGGTGAGAACTGGCTAGGGTGACGATTCTACTCTCTCTTTCTGCCCATACCTCCCAACCTCCATCCCTCTTCTGATGACCTTTAGTCCATCGCATAGCTTCAGCACTGTTGTCAGGATTTTGGCTCCTGCGTAAAATGCAAAGAGGCTCCTTTTCCAAACACAATTCTCCCATAATCTCTTTAGCAAAAATTGATTAAGAAGGAAGGGGTAGGGTTGCAAGAATTTCAGCAGCTATTATGCTGAAAATATGGATTATTTCTGATTTAGAACCAATTTATTCCTTAATATATTAGGGAAAAGACTTTCTTTCTTTCTTTCTAATGGGGTTCCCTGGGAATTGGCAAGAAGGCTATCTATCTATCATCTATCTATCTATCTACCTATCTATCTATCTCTCCCTCCCTCCCTCTCTCTCTCTATCTATTGGTAGTCCTTGCTTAGTGACCACTCGTTCAGCAACCATTCAAAGTTACAACTGTGCTGAAAAAGGAGATTTATGACTGGTCCTTGAAGTTGTGGCTTTCGCAGCATTCGTGCAGTCACATGATCGCAATTCAGGCGCTTGGCAACTGGCACACAGTTACGATGGTTGCAGCATTCTGTGGTGAGGTATTCACCATTTGTAACCTTTACAGCCAGCTTCTGACAAGCTGTGATGGAATGGTTTGATGAAGGCTGCGCTCGGGGAGATAAGCATTCCCTTAGCCCCCAGCAGGAGCGTGGGAAGGTGAAGAGGCTGAGACTGGCACCACCCTAAGGAATTCACGGTGTTTGCTTGCTGGCTCGGGGAGTTTAGATTCAGTTGGGTGAGACTGATGTCAGGTTCAGCACAAAGAACTCCACGAGACAGTAGAGATATAGTTCTATAACATTTATTAGCTTTCACCTACAAGACAGAAATCTCGCCCGACTGAATCTAAACTCCCCAAGCCAGCAAGAAAACACCACAAATTCCTTAGAGTGGTGCCAGTCTCAGCCTCTTCACCTTCCCACGCTCTTTCTGGGGGCTAAGGAAATGCTTATCTCCCCGAGCGCGGCCTTCACCGAACCATTCCATCACACAAGCAAAGTCAGTGAGGAAGCCAGCAGGAAGTCGCAGGTTGCAGTCATATGACATCATGCTTAATGACCATGGGTGATTCACTTAACAACCACAGCTGGAACTGACATCATGAGTTGGTGCAGTCACATGATGTTTCACTTAACAACCGCCCTGCTTAGCGATGGAGTTGCCAATCCCAATTGCGGTCAGTAAGTGCAGACTACCTCTATCTATCTATCTATCTATCCGTCTGTCTGTCTGTCTGTCTGTCTGTCTGTCTGTCTGTCT